AACACTTCAATAACGCATCAAAAACTATAATGTTCACTATTTATTTCTTAAATTATTATAAGCGTAATATTTATGCAACTTCAGAAATAAATATCGTGAATGTCGTGTGTCAGAATATTATTTATAATTGTTTGACATTCGTTGTTATTAGATAAAAAAAAAAGTAAACGCATACTTTGATATAAAAGAAATTATAAATATATTACTATTTCATCAGTACCAAACATTTGTAACTTAATTAACATCTAATAACAACTTTAACTCACCTAATATTACTTGATAAGAAATAATAATTTTATGTCAAACTATATAAAGTCACTTTTTGGTCTATTATACAATGCAAAAACTTAAATAACTGCTGCAAAGTTTGCATTATTTCTTCATTAAAATAAGATACGTGAAATAAGATACTTCTGAAAAAAATTGTATATGTCTACTGATCTTCGTTATTATTTAACATTAAGAACAAAAAGAACGCATACATTGATATAAACAAAGTTCAAAATATATTAATATTTTATCAGTAGTAAACTTTTGTAACTTTCATAATAATTGAATAAGAATTTGAATGATAATGATCACTCACCTGGATCAAGTGTTGATAGAAAATAAATATTTTATATCATTATATGTAAAGTTATTAGAAGATTAATAATATTAAGATAGTTAATAATGTTTATGTGAATGATTGTTAAACAAAGGTTACTGCACGTGCAATAATATATGACTTTTTTACGCTTAGAGTACAGGAAATATAATAAGTACCATGGGCAGACCGTTAACTATGGGGGCATTTGGTTAATACTGTTTGGGGGCCCTCGGCTGTCACAGTTTGGAAGTCCTTGGCTAACATACTTCGGGGCCCTCACATTGTTTATTTGTACTTTATTAAAATTATTTGGTGGCCCCAGTTTGAGGGTCTAGCCAATTTAGCACTTTTATTGAAAAAGGTACTGCCTGCAGCCCTTAATGATCTTACCTAAATCATCCCCTGATAAGTACGGATGTCGCTTTATATTTTATCTGTGTAAAATTAAATATAACGAAAAACTCTATACGCAATTTTAAAAAAATGGTGTTTGAGTTCCAATCTCGAGTCAAGTAACTCGAACTAAGTAATTTATATAATTTGCTTTCCTGGAAATTTTAAATTATTTAGAAGTAAATGAAGCTTATCCGAGAGAATTCCCGGATGGTGCATCAGGGTGAATGAGCTTGTTCGACCCAAAGTGACCTACATATATTTATATATATGTAATTTGGTAAAGAGGCCTTATCTGGGTCCATAGTTAGATGATACAGGAAAACCCCGAAACCCTTGCCAGCATTATTATTTGTAGATCTGTGCAATAAATCCTCATTTTCCGAAAATGGAGCACCGCTGCTTGAATGGAGGTTTTCACACATCGATTTTGTTGTTTACCACCACTATAATCCATTCGGTGCTAGAAATGCTGAATTTTACTCGCAAATCGAGCTTTTACCATACATGTTCGCTCATTTTTACATATTTTTTTTTATATTTCCATGCACACACTTAAATATTCAACAATAACATATTAAATGTTTCCATTTGTGCAACCATTATTACACAATTACACATAACAACAATAATATTTCGAAGTAAAATCGAGAACCTAGAAAATTAATAACCGAGAACCGAAAAAACATTAATAATTACAAAAGATTAAAAGTTAATTAATTTACATTTGAATCAGTTTCTTACGAACTCTTAACTTTAGTCGCTTTGATAATTTATTGAAACTATATGTTTTCTTCAGAAGTTACATCGCAAAACTTGTAAAATGGATTAAATCAGATTGTTTGGCAACGAAATCAAAGAAACATATATGGATCAGCAAACTCTATTGGTTGTTTGGAAGAAATTCAGTGATATCGCTAGACAACAAATTATTGATATACAAATCAATCCTCAAACCATTATAGTCATATGGAATACAGTTAGAATTAGGTTCAGCAAGCAATTCTAACATCGAAATACTCCAGCGATTTCAACCAAAAAAACGGCCCCAGACGCTACAACCGTAAGGGCGCAAGTAATAGGTAATAGTATTAATCTCTTAAGAGGAGGGAGACGCAAATTAAATATTTGACCCGTTTATTTTTTTTTAGAAGCGGACGCAAATTAAATGTTTTTCTCCAGGCGCAAGATTTCGTGCTTACCTACGCGCCCTGTTATGTTCCCAATAGAGTTAGTGTTACACATGGAAATGGTTAAAAGTATAATTAAATACTCTAATGAAACAAACAAACGAAAAATCTAGTAAATCCGACACAAACAAATACATTTAAAAAGTGCAACAATTACCACAAAGATTGAATTAAATTTTGTGACAAAAATAATTTTATGTTACTTAATACAGATTAATACTATAGAGTTCCACAACTATGTAACAATTGTACCGCAAACAAATTTATTTAATGTCCTTTCTGTGATCAATCGTTAATAAAATAGATGTTAATCAAAAAAATATGTTTTTTATGAATATCCATGGTATAGTGATATTATTTTTGTAATGATGATATTATATACATTTTTTATATTTATGAAGATATTTTTTTTAATTTTATTATTACAAATATAGTAATAAATTAATACAATATAAATATTACCTGAAATGATCATTTCAGATATTTAACTTTGTTGTGTAAAGACACTGTCTTTTTATTGAAGATAAATGGTCTCTCATTACTTAATATTAGACTATAATATATTTTTGTTTGTTTTGTTACATAATATAAATATTCAAGTACGGTGTTGTATTATATTTTTTTTATATATTAAGAACACTGTGCGTTTAATGAAAAGGTCAAATATTTTATGATAAAATACGACGCTCGGCATTCTTCAGACACCAAAAAAGAAATTGTTGCTCGAACCTAAATATATTTTCACTATGGCATGACTACAATATACATAACGTAATCATTTTTCGTAATCGCTCTAAATATTTACAACGTTATAATAATATGGCCTATATTTTCCATGGAAATATCAATTTTTTATTGTCTATTTTCACTGTACCATTTGTATGTATGTAAAAGCGAATATGTAATAAATTATGTTTATTATTAATGTTATAAGAATTGTTTAAATATTATTCATTAATTAATTAGGGCAGAAAGACTGCGGGCAATAGCCCTTTGGATGTTGTTATATAATACATTTTGTTTATTATTAATTAATTATTATTTACTTATTAGCTTAATGATTCCACCTACATTAACAATTCGTATACAGTTTCCATGATTTAATACTTAAAACTAATTAGTAGTTAATTATAAAATTAAAGAGTTATTGCATAACGAGAAGAAGAGTAGTCCCAGATTTTGCGACTGCTATACAATTTTAAAAATTTGTGTTCAAACATATTACGTGTGTTTTTTTTGTGTGCAAAGTTTGAAAAAGCCTAAGAAAGAAGACAGTCATAAGAGAATAAAAAAAATAATTAAAAGAACTAATTATTTCATTTTTTTTTGTTTTTTGCAAATCGAATTTTCATTCTAGGTTGTTTCATACTGTGATAGAAGAAAATATAAAGATTATTGACGCTCCTTAACAATTTATATATAATTATCTTTGAATAAACTTTATACATAATTTGTCTTCAGTATTTTTATCGTATTTTACATTCTTACATTCATTTATGTGGGAAAAATTGTTATGATAATAATTTTATTCTTCGTAATTAACAAACATTTTGATAAGTTATCCATTTAAAAATACATTCCATTAAATGCATTAACTATATTTATTGAAGATTTTTTCATTAGAAGCATTATTTTCAACTTTACGTAACGCAAGACTTGTGGCATTTATTTACATGTTTACATTTCATTTACATTCTACGTCTGTTTCATAAGCTTTCTCAGTTTCAGTCTCTTTGATGTTTTTTGACGCTATATCACGAATGTTATTCTATTAATTTACATGCAATACACCATAAGATTTTCTTAATGTTGTTAATTTATTTTTCTAAATTTGTATATATAAATTTTAATTGTACTAAAATCATTCGTTAATAGAATTGCTTTAAATTCATACGTTTATTAATTCAATTCCTATACAATTATTGCATAAGTATTTGTATAATCTGGGGATTTCTTTTTCTGATTTATTGTTATATTTTTTGTTACGTTATTGTATAATGATGCAACATTTACATATTTTTTTATGTAAATGTTAGAAATGTAATGGAAACTGGGCTAATCCCGTGATAGCAGTAGTACTTTGCTAAAAAAAGAAGCTTCTTTTTAGTAGTACAGCAATAGAAAATATAATAATATCACTAAAGTAGCCAAGTTTCTCATATTATAGGACAGAGTTTCCCAAACTAAGTTGCGCGGAACACTGGTGTAATAAATAATGAATGTTTTTTTTTATGTTCCTTGAAAATTTCAGGATTTTAGAAGTGTTCTGTTGCAGAAAAAGTTTGGGAAATCATTTTGTAAGGACAACTACAACATTTATATTCTGAAAATTAGAACGATTAGAAATAATGTATGATAAAATGTGTCGTTCATTGTTATGTATTGTATATACCCTATTTTTTTTTATTAATAAATATATTGTTATAATGAAATATTTTATTCTCTACTGAAGAACGTTGCTTGAATGTACTATTCATTAAGTAATTAAAATGTTCATTTAATCATTGTTTTCCTAGAAGATAGCTTCTTTTATTTTTTTGTCTTCATAAATAATTAAATTAAAATCAATATGTGATTTCCAAAGTATAGAGTTCAGTTATTTCCTTCCAATGTTTGAAGGTGAATTATTGAACAGCACGCCAAGGCTCGCTCATCAGCATGTCTATTCATGCACGTCTATCGCATGGACGTCGGTAATAAGTAGTCCCTTACTTTATTTATTCCGAGCTAAATATCGATTTTATATTTTATATCACAAAAGTTTGTATCCAGGTAGTTATAATATAAATTCTTCAGGAATGAGAGAAGAACCTGTGGAAGAACAATACCTTGATAGGTGACGCCGGAAACGAGGAGATCCGTTGAAAACAGGTTATGTGAGATGGTGAGGTTGTAGTGTGGTCGATCGGTCCTTTTGGCACCGTCCAACGTGCGGCATTCTCGCGGAGGTCCTGGCGATCGTCCAGGTGCAGGATCACCCTCGTCCCTCGTCCGCAAAGACATCGCACCACCGGCCTGGATCACCCCGAACACGATCAAAGAGATCAAAAGCATCTTTGCCATGTCCATCGAAGATAAACGGTACATCATAGTCCGAACTTCAAAAGTAAATATTAAACGCGCACAAAGTTCCCTACTTCTTCTCTAGTAATTTTATTATATCACAGACGCATTTCCAATCGCCGCAAAAAACTTAAGTATTAAACCTAAATCTATCATTGCTATATTTATTTCTAGTATGATTATTATTATTATACATTTTAATTATCAACATCAAACCGAAAATAAGTTAGGCAAAAACAATTTAATTCCGAAATATTCTTCACACATAAAAAAGCTTAACGTGAATTATTTTTTTAAATATATATTATTTAATATTAATTTTTTGAATATTATTTATTTAATTTTGATGCGAGATTTAAGGGTTGAATCAGATCGCTTCGGCAAAGCAAGTACGTTCAGAATGCAGAGATGATTTCTTATTTTTTTTGTTGTTATTGTTGTTAAGATTTATCTTTATTTTCTGTTTGTTTTTTGACGATATCTGGGGTGTGTTTAAGAGCGAAGCGAGTGGCGGTTCTGCCGGACGCACTGAAACTGGAAAAATTTCCTCGTCGGCCGCTTTCAGGACTGAAATGCGGTCGGGGGCGGCTGAAACCCCGCCGTGGCGGGGGTAGAACAACCCGCGCGCGCATTAATTCTCTTCCATTACATCACAACCGAAGACGCTTTACCTTTGCATCGTTGTAAGGAAAGAACGCATCTTTCCCATCATTTTTGTACTTTCATCTTTATTTATTTTTTTGCTGGAACTTTTCTCAAGTCTTAGGGGATTCCGCCTCAGACGATGACAAATGGATTGGTCGCATTATGAAATAAACATTCGCGGTTTTCATACGTTCTTTTTTGTTGTTGCTGAAAGCAAGCCCTTTCGTCGTCGTTGTCGACAAACCTTAGCATAGCTCGCGCGCCGCGTTTTCGGTACTTGTTTTTTTGACCCCGTTTCTGCATTTCCGCGGGGCTGGCACCGAAACCTAGGTTTAGCTCCCTTCATCAATAAAAGTTACGTAAAGTTGACATACATTTATCAGGACGTCAACAAAGCAGCTACCGTTTGAATACAGAAAAGATGCTTTTTTTTGGGTACTTTTTCATATTATTTTTTTTTTTTCAGATTCAGCAAATGGAAAACATAAATTACTGATACAATTGTAGAGCATGGACCGATGCCAACGTGTCACGATTTGCAGACAAACAAAACGTAAGACATTATCAAATCAATATTGCTACAACTTTATTAAATATAAATAGAAGAAACTGAAATTGTAATGTTATAACAATGTTTATTGCCACAGTCCTACAAAAAAGTAAATAAATACATACTAAATGTAAACACAAATTATAATAATTTAAAATTATGTAATGTTATGTAATAAATTTACAATATTTAAGCAAAAAGTACAATTTCTGAAATTAGGAAAATTGTAAATGAAGAGTATCAAAGTGTATAATCAGAATTATAGTATAAATGGATTAAAAAAATAAAAGTAAAATATCTATTTTTGGTCCCATAAAAGTCTCGTGGACCCCAAAAAACCTCGTAAGCCCTAGGCACAGTGGCTAGTTTCAGCCTAAATGTCTATTTTACATTATGAATTTATTTTGACAACCAATTACAGAAGAAAAAAGTTTATTTTACTTAATGTATTGGGTTAGCAAGAAATCATTTTATGATTCAATTATTACTTTTATAAACTTACAAATGTAGTTCTTTAGTTTTAAATAAAATTAATATGAGGATATTTTCATTTTGCTTTCCAGCTAAATCTGCAATATTTATAAATAGCAACGGTTGTTCTATAAATAAATAGCTCGACGTTGAAGCCATCACAAACAGACTCTATGAGCGGTTTAATTACGGTTTCATCAATGAATTTGCCTATATTATCTATCCATCAAACCACCCCCATTATTTGATGTTTGCACTATTAATAGTAAAATCGAATAATTTTTTTCATTTTTAAGATTATTTTTCCATATTACGTGTTGCATATATACAATTATTAATAAGTAGGAATGTTTTAATCATTAGCAATAGTCAATGGTCATTTGCAAAAGTACTTGAGTTAAACGGAGACTCGAATAAAACGGTCTTAAATTACGACAATAGTCACTTGAGTTACACAGACTCTCATATAAAACGACCAAATATGACGAAAATCAAATAAAATGTTATTATAATCAATTGCAAATTCTTTAAATCAGCAATCTCCAAACTACGACCCGCGGGCCTTTATCGGCATGCGAGCACCACCAATTCTTAATTCTTCAATTATGGTTATGAGTAAGTTTAGAGCGAAATTTACTTAAATACATTTATAAAAACATGATGACTTAGTCTTGTATAAAACGATATTGAATAGTATGGAATCAATTAAGCGTGTTATTTACGGATTGACTTTGTTGATTGACTACTTGATACAAGTTGATAGCTGTCATTATGTGACCCAATTTTGAGAAACGCTGATTTACATAATATTATATAATATAATTCACTGAAATCCTAATATATTATTTGTAAAAACAAAGAGGTCAATCTTCTTTATTCTTTGTGTAGTAATAAAATAGTGCTGCAGGAAGCGAATGTGATTTGATGCTTTAGTGGTAGTAAAATGGATTGATTCGTATGACATTTGCAGGATCTATTACATGAGTAGAGTGTTTTCCGTTTGAAAAAATCTCGCTTCACACTGTCTATGCATTATTAATTAACCTTTAACTTAAATATCAATAATTTTGACATTTAATAATTATGTCGTTACTGCATTTAGAACAAAATTGATTTAATTAAAGATCATATGCACAATAGGTGTCTATTATTTACTAGTTTATGAAAGTTAAGCAACAGAATATGCAAAATGTACTTGGATTGGTTATAAATTACGTTTGCCAAATAAATTATCATTATTACAATACACATGACTCAAATTATTTGTAGACTATTTTTGTTTGAAAAGTGCATTATTTGAATCATTTAAGTATTAAAATCTATAATATTATTCATATATAGTTACAACTGTTTTTGATTATTTAACTATGAAAACAGTTGGTGGATAATTTTCAAATATTGTTAACAAATGTTAACATTTGTATTAAATTAATATATAAGCAAGTGAAGGAGTAAAATATTATGAATATAAAAACATGTTTTCTTTTATATTATTACAGCAATCTAATAAAAGATAATAAGCCGACTTTTGCTAGTATTGAAGAATTTATACAACAACCAACTTTTACATTAGATTAATCACTTTCCGCATATATAGATATCTCGATTTAGTTGTTGGTATAGGTTTAGCAGATTTCTCTTAACATTTTAGATTAGAGAAAACTAGATAATGTGGACCATCAACAGATTGCGGGCAGATCCTACACAGAGTTGAATGTCGTAGGCTTCATCTGCGTGTATCAAAATGTTGGTGATTGTGACAGATGACCATGTGAACGTTACATGTTCTAATTTTCCATATTTGTATCCAGCGCTCTATTTTATCTAAGTATGTTTTAAAGTATTTCGAAATAGTTGTCAGAAAAAATATAAAAACACCATTAAACTTAAGATCCGCTATGAACATCATGTAAAAATAGGAGGACCATCAAATTTAACGTAATGATATCTTTTCGTTTTTGTGTTTAACTTGTAAGTGCCTCTCTAGAATGATCTGAAGATACTTCAATATACATGCAGAAGCACTAATGTTGTAAAGCAAAGATGATTATAAAAATATAAAAATTTGTTTTTTTTTTCTAAAATTTAAATTATTTTTAATATTTCCTATTTATATAAAAGTAAACTACTTTCAATGAACTTTATTATACGTCAAGTGGGCTGTTCGATATTTTCTTTGAAGTCAGATGCAAATCTTTAAATTTACAAATAAGACCAGTTGATTGACACGCCTTATGCAAAACGCTCGAAGTTTATGTAAAACTGAATTTTCACGCATATTAAACTCTCTCTGGTTTTCAAATGGAATTCGTAAAATACGGTTTAGCTTGACGGGCTGTTGCAGACCTGCCGGAGTTAGTCGATATGTGTATAGTATGATGTGTATGTGTATGCATCATATACCGCAGGATAAAAGGTTTTCTTGCTTCATCGGAAAGTCCATAAAATCAATACTCACTTCAATTACTTGCAATCACTTTAAATATTTTATTTATTTGAAAAAAAAATCATTTAATCTTTAATGTCAGTCATTTATTGTATATCTTCTTTAATAAATAACATATTTCGTTTCAATTATAATTACCTTAAATACACTTAAATTATATATTTTTATCTATAAATAACTTTATTTTATGCAAATTCATGTGATTAATTTATTGCATTTTTTATCCATGGAATCCATGCAAGTATAATACAGGTATCACCCGACTTATAAACTAGTTCCGTTCAAAGGGTTGTTCGTAAAACGGGTGAATTTTAAAAATTTCAAAATATACTTATCTTACCACACTTTATCATGGTTTTTACTTTTATATATGTTAAATATGTTGAAAAAATAAATTAAAATAAACAAAATACTTACTTACAAATACTTTTCAATGTAGACATCGCAATTATTTAATAAAAAACAACAAAAGAAACAATTGCAACAAAACAGACTTTCAAAAGTATTATATTTTATTAAAGAAATGATCAATTTTTGTTTGCACAGTTAAGTTTTTATGACTATATCTTGTTCGTAAGTCGGGGGATATCTGTATAGAAAAAATAAAAAATTCTTAATAATTTTGAAAATTTTTGAAAATTTTTATTTTTCATGAAAAGTTACATAATATTGTATTCATTCTACACTAGAATAAAAATAATAAAATCTATATGAAACATAATACTAAATATTGAAATAGAACTAAATAATAATAAAATAAATCAATGGATATGACTGCACATTCAACTTTGTTGATGAAATATTATCCATTTTGTAATAACACGGAAACCAAAATATCATACTAAATATTAATAAACAACTAATAATAAATAAATCAACCTGTCTGACTTTACGTTAAAGTTTGTTGATGAAATATATTACCTGTGTTTGAAATCGATGAAGTATATTTGCTATGAAATATATTGAATCTATTAAATAAAGCACATATTCAAACGCACGACCTTCCAACTTAAACATAGAACAATGTTTGCCTTTTAAATTGCAATTTTGCTGGTTTTGTTATCCTTATTATGATGATACAATCAAAAGGAGCAACCTGAAAGTTGCTTCAGGACGCTGCTATAAATCACACGCACGTTTTCACAACAATGGTG